GTGACGAGGAAAGCGTCGATGAGATGAATGTTGGTGTGCTTGAAGAGACGTCTATTGGTAAGGACTCTTCTCTCGTCAAAGAGAACTCCATTGATGGAGCTAACGTGGGCAAGGACCGTACATGAGTTGAAGAAAACAACTTTTAACAAGAATCCAAGCAATACTTTGCTCATTTATTAACTAAACTCGCCCTTATCGTAGAGCTCATCATCTGGTCCAGGCTGTAGCAAACGAATCATAATACTTTTGTTGTACAGTTCAGGATCTTTATAAAACCCTTCTGCAATCAGCTTTCTTGAAGGGAAGCCGTAGTTAGGATCGTAAAACTTCTTCCCCTTCAATGTCTCCTCCAACAGTGGGATCTTATCCCCCAACCATGCCGCATGGTGGGTATGGTCTAAATATGTGTCGTCAGAATTAGGATGAACGAGAACAGACAACGACCCATGGTTCAATTGAATCCACGAGAAGAACTTTACAAATACCGAGGGCTCCTGGACATCAACTTCAAAGAACGCAGTGATGTGAGGTCCTCTAACTTCCTCGCTTCTCAGCACCTTCACAATAATCTCATCGCTTTCAACCTCATCATGGAAGTCCTTGAAAATGGAGTTTTTCAGCTCGATGGCTTCTTGTAGCGAGGCCTGACTCTTGTAGTGGTAGTAGATGTGAAAGTCGTAGGAGGACACTGGAGGGTAGAAGGACATTGTATGTGGTGTACAGTAAAGAGAATGGCAGGAGTTTAACAAAGCATTGGACTTTTTATTTATTGTGCTTAGTCGAAGCCTTCTGCCACACTTTCTTCCCCGGCCAAATTACCTCATTGGGACTTACAGCCGGCTCGCTACTGAAATGGCTCGCTACTCAAATGGTTCATTACTCAAATGGCTCATTACTCAAATGGCTAATTGTGCTAGATTATACATACATCACGTAGTTTTACTATACAGCATTCCTCATTTCTGGTAGAAGTCGTCTTCCGGACCTTGTTCGAGCAATCTAATCACAGTTCTCTTCGAGTACTGGCTGTAATCATCGTAGAAGCCTTTGCCAATCAACTCTCTGGACGGGAACCCAAAGTCTCTTGAGAAAGGCACCGCAGTCGCACCCTTCAAAGTCTCCAATAGCAATGGCAGCTTCTCACCTAGCCAAGCTGCGTGGGAGGTATGGTCTTTAAAGGCATCGCCTGTGTTTGGATGCACCAGAACAGAGAGCGTGCCATGGTTCAGCTGGATCCACGAGAAGAACTTGACAAATGTGGCAGGGTCCTCAACGTCCACCTCGAAGTAGGACGTGATGTGGGGGCCTCTGATTTCCTCGTTTCTCAGCACTTTCAGTATGATGAGGTCCCTGTCAATCTCATCACGGAAATCCCTAACAATCTTGTTCTTAAGCTCAACGGCCTCTCTACGAGACACAGGGCTTTTGTAGTGGTAATAGATGTGGAAGTCGTACGAGTCCACAGGTGCGAAGTACGAGACAGGCATTGCAAATGCCGTCAACGTCACATTGGCAGAGCATCTCTGTGATGGATCATGGCACCTTTTATACCCACCAGCTCTTCACTCGCATCACCGTTGTACTGTGTGGATGTCCCAAAGAGGAAACTTTGGCGAAAAACCGTTCGCCAGTGTGTCTTGTCTTTTCGCAAATTTGGCACGGCAGAAACCCGAAAAAATTACAGTGCTCGCAAGGGAAATGCAAGGAAAAAGACGGCAAATACCGGGGCTTCCGCCATTTTACACTTGAACCATCATCAACAGCCTCAGTGGACGAGGATTAGACAGCGAGGCCCGGATGGAGGACGATAAGAAGTTCCGGAGAAACTACAAAGCGTGCCTGAACTGTCGCACGAGGAAGGTGCGGTGCGATTTGGGGCCTGTGGAGGCTCCTCACGACCCACCGTGTGCGCGTTGTAAGAGGGAGAGGAAAGAGTGTGTGTTTGCTGATAGTCGTCGAGGAGGTTCGCACGTGCACAAGAAGGTTAAGACGGATGGATCAGTGCCATTCCATGCCCCTAATGCGCTTCCGATGCCCATTGCTGGCAGAGGGACGAGCTCGCCAGAGCAGCACTCTCTTCAACACCACGATGTGCTGTCACAGCAGCAGCATCACCAGCAGCAGCACCAGCAGCCATATGGCTTGACCAGTTCACAGATTCCAGGAGGGTTTCAAGGATCTATGGTGTTTCCGCCTGTTCTACAACCCCCTGTGATCCAGCAGCCTCAGCCAAACGAGCCGTTGCCACCATTGAAGAGGCTCAGTGAGCGAGTCAACTCAAACTCAACGCAAGCATCCGACGAATCTCATACTCCTCAGAGATCTGAGCTCAACACCATGCAAGGTGCCCTTGTCTTCTTAGCCAGGGCAGCTGGTACAATTGCAAGAGCCGATGATAGAGATCACATCAATGGCCGAGATAAGCATGAGCAGTTTGAAACGGAACAACGTCCCACAAGTGCCACGGCTTCTGGCTCTGTTCGTGCCGATGACATCGCACCTTTGATAAGACCTAAAGGGAACACTCCTCCTAGTATGCCACCAGTGGAGAGGATCTCTAACGTGCGGCCAAACCCTGCAAAATCGCTCAACACGATTGAATACATAGGGCCTGGGAAGATGTTAACTGTGGCTGAAGCGGAACAGTTGATCCACCTGTTCTTCTTAACTATGCATCCATTCTTCCCGCATATACCTGAGCAATTGCAGTCTCCAGAGGTGCTTGCCGGCTATCCCATCTTGTTATGTGCCATATTGACAATCTCAGCCCGGTATCATCCATTTGAAGATGACGATGGCAATAAGGTCAATAAGAACTCGAGAAACATACAACTGCACGAACGGTTATGGATTTACTGTCAAAGACTAATATCGCAGACGATCTGGGCCGAAGCATCCACTAGGTCCGTCGGCACGGTTCTTGCTTTCCTTCTGTTCACAGAGTGGAACCCAAGAGCCATCCATTGGAGATGGTCCGATTATGCCAACGCACCGTCACTGTCCAAAGAGGGAACTCCTGAATACCCTGGAAGCGACTTTGACGCAACAGAAGGCCTGACAGGGCTGAGTGCCATGAGACGGTCGGACCGTATGGCTTGGATGCTGGTCGGCACCAGCGTGAGGCTGGCTCAAGACATGGGCTTCATAGACGGCTCCACCAAGATCTTTGTAGCTACACATATTGCCGAGACCAATACTGCAATGAATTTAGGACAGAGAAGCATGCTGGCGCAAAGTTTGAGTGAAATTGACCTGGACAATGAAGACGAAGGTGAGGCTGTGGATAACCGCAAGCAGTACCTCCACGATGAGTTCATACTCACCGTTGATGAGGAGACAATGAGACAGAGATCGTTACAGAAGAAGAACCTCAAGTTCACCTTCATGCAAAAGGCCAAGCTTGAATTGTTGAAGATCATGTCACTTGCCTATGAAACAGTTTACTGTGGTGTGCATAGTCAGTCCAGCACATCCAATCTCCAGAACTTGACCGTTTTGACGGTACTGTCACCATTGATCGAGCATTGGTTCAAGACCTATAAGAAACTGCTGAAACCTTCGAATCCAAAGAACTTCAACCAGCATTGCAACTTGTCCTTAGCAGAAAATCCCAAGCATGTTCAGGAGCTCACCAAGCAAATTGATAAGGAATCGCTAATATGTGATTACTACTACTGTCAGTTGTACATATACTCGTTGGCTTTGAGCATGGATACACCATTGAACAGCAGTTCGCAGGATGCAAAGAGATCTTTGACAAATGTCCATCTTGATGAGATATCAAAAGCTGCAAAGTATATCGAGCTGGCGTATAATGCTGCGAAGGAGATCCTGAATGCGGCAGTTAGAATCCATAAATTGAAGATGCTGAAATACATGCCCGTTAGGTGGGTCACGCGTGTTGTTCGTTCCGTTGCCTTTATAGTCAAATGTTACTTGACTTTAACCAATACCAACAAGCAAAACAATGAGTCCAATTCACAACAGGTGTCAACATTGTTGACATTGGGGATTGTTCCTACGGAAGATATCCTTCAAACGATTCAAAGAGCAGCAATTGTCCTTAGAGAAGCTTCACCAGACGAGTTACATCTCTGTACTAGGTACTCCACAATTTTGATGTATCTATGCTCAGAGATGAAGTATCGTTCGAAGTTGATGGCCAATCCACCAAACGTTACTCCCCTCGATGCATCATCTGATGAGGAGACTGCTCTGCAAGAGTCAAATCAAAATGACACACAAGTTCCTGTTGGTCCCTTACCATTCGATAAGCCTACACAGATTCCCTTGTCGGCACAAGACGATGCTCTTCCGTCAGACAGCTCGTCTACGTTTTACATGGGATATCACCAGATGAAGGACGTTGCCAGCGATCAACAGGCACTCCCTGATGCCGTTGTTGACTGGTTCATGAAGAACGATGAGGCAATCGGATTAGACTTTGTTGAACCGTGGACGGAGATGATAGAACAACACCTTGATAAACAAAAGAACTGAGTCTCAGCACTGCGAAACCATTCTAATGGAATATTCTATAATTTGTTTATAAATTGTAATCATATAACCAGTAAACAACTTCTGATTTGTATTGAATATTACCCCCAATTGTAAGCCCCTAATTAAAATATGTAGTATGCATAACCAAATTCCCAAATACCAAAGATGAAATGTAAAGGACAAAGCTAAGCCATCACATGACAATACACTTTTCGTTTGTATTCACCCTACTTCTGCTCCTCTTCTTTCTCAGCTTCCTGATTGCACCTCCAGAGTGAGGATTTGGATCTGAAGACTTTGCCCTTGATACAGGAGTGTACCACGTATCGGGCTTATGAACCACTAGTTCTGACCTTATAGATTCATAGTTTGTATGAATTGTATTTGTCTTTGACAATTGTATCGGAGTTGTCAACTCGGTGTTATTTGTATTGATGAACCTGATCTGTGGAGAGAGGTCATCCAGCTTACCGTCAAATTCCACCACCGTGAGGTCATGTTCACCAACATCCTCGTCTGTTTCATCTTCATCTGGGGTATCTTCCACGAGTGCATAGAACAAGAATTTGCAAGACATGGCATTGGACTCCACGATATCATCCAAGCTCAACAGCTGCAAGTTTGTCATTGTGAAGGTCTCATCGTAGACTAACCAATCGTCTGCCATTTCAGAGTTTTCAATTTGACGGATAGCAGTTTTAATCTCATTTGTCTGTAAATCTTTCAAAAGAATGCTTCTCAAAACCAATTTGTTGTCAGTTGCCGAAGTGGCAGAGACGTTTGTAGGGAAGGGCTGCAGTGACACATTTCCAGTGTCGTCCGTCATCATCGACATCGTTTCAGAATCCCCAACTTCAAAACTGTGCTGTGAGGAGGACAAGTGGGTATCTACTCTAATGATTGGCTGTTCTGGAGACCCCAAGTTTCCTTCGAAGGAATTCACTGAGCGAGGGGATTGTGGTAAGTCTGTATCGGAGAGCAAAGAATGGGTATCGTCATCGTCATTGTTGACCTCCACAGTGGTACGCATTGCGTCCTCGCTCAACGTCCGATCAATCAGAGCATCTCTTTGTACTATGGAGGGCACGTAGCCCGGCTCGCCGCTCAATATACTCTCCGCCTCCGTGCATTGACCCTCTGAGGGTCTTCTGGCGTTTGTGTTAAAGGTCGGAACCTGTCTTGTGTTGTCCTTTATCAGTATCACGCTGGTCTTGTTATCATTGATGGCCCCCATAGGCGTGATTGTTATTGTCTTTGCATCTGACCCCATGTAGTACTTCGACATCAGGCTCGTCAGCAGATTCGGGTTCCTGTTTATCTCATTTGTATCCATTAGAAGGATCAGCACGTTCGAGTCATAGCTCGTCGAGTTCTCCGATATAAACCTATCGAGTTGCCGCCTGTGCATCGTGTCATCCACAATTCCTTCAAACTCGCCTGACTCGAGATGAGCAACGTACCAAGTCCATAGCCGCGAATAGTCATCTTCTTGGGACGCATCCAAGTTGTTGTATACAAAGGTTGGCATCTGCTTGCTTCAAATCACAGCCTCTCGAGTGCTCTTCTGGTGTTCTTGAGTTTGCGCTTCGTCGAATGAGTCCAAAATCGGTTTACACTTCTTGGGCCTGTTGCTAAATCCTCAACCTATTGCAACGACCCTGCTGCCTGGAAAAAAGCTCCTGCTGACTTAATTCGATCAATAAAATAACAGCAACGGAAAAACACAGCAAAAAATACCCAAAACGGCAACTGTGCTCGCCTATTCGCTTCAACGGTCGAGCCTGAGTGGAAACGGTCTTGCTATGTGTGTATGGAGCCCGCGAGATACAAACCACGTAGGCGTGTTATATGTCAAATGGTGAGGAAAGAGGGAATGTGTCCAGGATTGGAGAAGAAAACAAAGGAGAATGGAAATAAATTATGGAAAAATAAAAAAGTCCCCTATCCCCTCCAAACCGTCAGAACTTCACCTTCCAAGAGCATCGCTCCATCGCCCTGCTCTCCATCCCTCTCCATCTGCTGTGCGATTTCCCTTGTTTTACCTCTCGCCAGTGTGCTCTGTCTCATTTAGGCAATACCGTTGTGCCACTGCGCTACGACTTTTGAGGCATTTTTTGATTTCTGTGTGTGCTTTTTAGACGCGGTGAAACGAAGTTGGTGTTTCGCGTGCTAAGGACGTCATAATTAGGCGCATTCTGCTCCGCGGAGAGAAATGAAATACGTCTCGTTTCCAGCACAACGCTCCTAAAAACAGCGTTGTCGTCGGAGATTGCTAGCCGTTGCGAGCATGTTTTTCGTAGCGCGGCTCCTACCAAAACGGGCTCTTCAGTGCTGTGAGGGCCCGTCTGCTCAGGGAGTGCAATCTGGCTCCTTCTTCTTTCCGCTGGATACGTTTCTCCGGCAGTTTCATTGCGTAGCTGTTTCGTTGCCGTTCGCTCCTCTGCCTGTTTCCTTCCCCTTTTTCACAGCGCTGGTTTCAACAGTCAAGCGGCCATCTTGCGCTGCTGTTCTTTCCCACAGCTTCCGAGTGAATTTTTTTCGCTCAGGGGAGACACGTCTTCTTTTCGGTGTTTACGCGGGTTTTGTAGGAATGGAACTTTCAGGGGGGAGGGAAAACGCCGCTTTGGAGCCCATTTGCGTGGTGTCTACCTATCCACGCTGTGCTGCACAGCTAATAGCATCAACTGGACTCGGTTGAGCAGATGCTGAGGCTTCCCTGGCCTACTGCGATGGACTCATCTGAACAGATACGATAGAGTACCGTAGAACGGGAGCTTCTGCCCAAGAGTAGCCCGTTTACCAGTGTTGTACCACGTTACCTGGGGACGGGTTCGTGGCGACTCCATTGCCGATGGTCCATGGGGGTCTTGGCCCTCGCAACAATAACCGTCCGGTTTGAGTAGGTACAAATCACACGTTTATAATGTGTGCATCCTGTTGTTCTAAGCACTGGCCAACGTCGCCAGTTTCCCCTTCGATGCGATGCGAAGTCTGACGTGATTGTTCCAGTTGGCGCACTGGGGGTTACACTGTTTCGCTTTTTTACCTTGTTCAACCTTACGATGGCGGAGTAGTGTGATTTGTTCGATTCTATAGACACTGGTGGTGAGGTGGCCTACGCCATGAACGAAACATAGGTGGATACACCGTCGTTTCACTGAGTATTAGTGTAGAGGCCATGGTTGTTTCAGACACCTACGTGTTGTGAGGCTAATTCTAGTACTGAACAGCCGGGTGGACTTGTCAAGCACTCGAACTGTAGTAGGCGTCCCCTGCAATTCATCATCATCATCATCACGCGTATCGTACAGAATTGAGCAAAGATCATTCCGTTATCTCTCGCACCAATATCGTCTCAGCCCCGATTCGCAATAGTTGATTAATGCTAGTCTTATACAATTGTTAGGTATGTCCATTGCTAATCAGAAGGAGAATACATAATCTGAGTAACAAATTTACCAGAGTAGCGAGTAGTACATGCGACGCCAAGTACCCCGTTCTTGATGTTTGAAGTCAACAAATGCTTCAAATTCACGTGCGGTATGATGTGGGAGTTCAAACCTTGCATATTAGTACCCTTCATAGAGAGATTCGCTATATCAGAACTCTGATTGTGATGCTGCGTGAAATGTTTGTTGAGGTAGTTGTTATTGAGGTACACGGGTAGCTCAGGTATTGGATGTTTCTGCATAAACTCCTCCTCCATCGGTGATAGCTCATCGGTCTCATTCAAGTAGGTCTGAAAGATGGGTGGTACATCCTGTGTAAACTGTTCTCCTGACCCACGACGCTTCTGATCCCCCTGTTGAGTCTGCGCCTGCGTGAACTCTGGTGTTACAGGTGTACCCGTACGAGAATGGATCCTGGAATCAGCAGCATTTGGGAGTGTTGCATCGCTATAGCGTCCAGCTTCTCGTTGCTGTTGCTTAAGAATTGAAGGTGTGCTCTTTCTTATGTGGTTGATGATCTGGTGCTTTTCCAATGCACCAGCCTCCACTTCCACGGTGGGACTCTCTTTGGTACCAACTTCAAACCAGTTGACAATGTTACCAGACTTGTCAGTTGCGGTTGGTAAAGAATCAGAGTGCCTTGTTTTACCATTGACCAAGAATTTGATACGGTATATTCCGATAGGCAAGAAAAGGCTCGTCTTGAAGAAAAGAGTTCCATCTGCTTGGAAACTTGGCTCCAATGGGACAGAATTACGCCATTGATCAAAAGAACCCACAACACAAACTTGATCACTCATTACAAGTGTACCGTTACGTTCAGGTTCTTGGTACTTGATCTTTACGGTCCTCAAGGTCTTATCCTCTTGGACAGCAATCTCTGTGGGGTCTGCAAGGTCCTCGTCTATACCACATTCATCATCAAGATCGTCAACCTCTGATTCGCCATTAGCATGATCATCAGGTACAAGTGAGAAATAGTCATCAGCGCCAATAAATTCATCCGTTAGGATACTAGGCGTCGTTACTCTCGATTTCACAACAGGAGTCTTGACGTCCCTAACGTAGGGGACATTTGATACTTGAGTAGGCGCTTTACCACCATCAGGGCCTAGACCAGCACCGACTTTGTCGGCTTTTGCGATTTGAACTTTGATATCAGTTGTTTCAACCTCCGTAACAGGGTGGCTCTTCAGGCCAGTAGTGACGATTCCAGAATACTCCGAATGCTGGACCTGGGGTTTATCTGCGTGATCTGTTAGTGTCATGCGTACTCTCAAGGTTTCTAATAAATGAACTCACTGTATCCCTTAATACTGCCTCGTCTTACATGAGGCATCGAACTTGAGTTGTTCCCCATTGTTTCTGACTATCTATAAGCTGTATACTTCGAAGAGAAGCTATTGTGGGGTTTGATTGTCTTTCGCACCTCACAGGCTGAGCAGATTTCTTTCGTTCTTGTGGTGGAACTGATAATGAGTTATGTTTGACTGACACTTGTACAAGGTCAGTATATCGCTATTTCAACAACAAATGAAAGCGTTTGGCGAGTTACCAACAGTAATCTCTTTATCCCCTTCCCTTTTATATTTTTTGTTGCTACCTGTAAATATTAGTTAGATGATTTTTTTGGTCCAGTTTCGCTCAAAAACAACAAAAAAAAGATTCTAATGATTTTGGCACCTAAGACGATATGACGTAAGAGGAATTATTGTGAATTTTTCACAAGTCTTCGGACCAGCGCCACAAAACCAGAAAAAAAAAACTGAGAAAATACACCTGGCCTAGTGCCCCTACCGCTACCCTCACGTCGGTCGGGTAAAATTGCCTCTCCCCCTGTTCTCATTCACCTTGGCAACAGTAGTACTTTTGAACTTCACTTTTCAATACCACTTTAACGCTTTAGAACTTTAAACGCAGTCAACGTAGTTTACTCCATGTGTCCATCACGTTGTGTCTTTCCGATAATCTGCTGGTAGAACTGAAATGAACAGTGGTGTCTAAAACTAAAGTCTGTGCCCATGAGTTCTCAATGTTCCCACCAACACAGACGCAACTTTTCGGCTCACAAGTTGTCCAATTGACGAATTTGTAGGCCTACAATCTTGCTTGGTGGTCCACGTACTTTAGCTTGAGCTAGTGCCTCGGTGTTATGCTATCACTCAAGTAAGCCCATACTTTTATATTCCACCTCTTAGCTTTGGCCCGTTCTGGGACCTTTAGGATTAATAAAAGATAAGGCCGGTTAAATATCGAGATTTCAGACGCACAAGTTACAGCCACATGAGTCACCTTATGCACATCTTAAGGTGCTTTTTCCATCTTGGGTTCCATCTATGAAAGTGAGAAGATTTGGGATTTAGTACCATGTCTTTGCCTTCGCCCTTTCATAACGGTACGGATCCTCATGAAATTGCAACCCCATGTAAGTCAAAGTGCACAGAATTGCACGAGTAATTGAGACGCCCTGGAGGTTGTACGTGCTCAGCAGATACCTCTCAGAAAAACAATTAACTACAGCGAAACATCTATCTTCCCTTCAGTTGAAGATCAGCTGTAAGACACTTATCGAATTAAAGTATATGGTGTAAAGAGTTAGAACTGCAGTCCCAGTAGACTATCAAAGCCAATATATTACTGGAATCCTAGTATCGATATAAAACAGCACTGGGACACCGCGAGGATATGTTTCAGACGAAACATACACCAAACCTCCAAGCCTGTGTGTAGAGCTGAATACGACCAAAAGCATGTACAAAGGCACATAAGTTATTAGAAACCTGCTATTCTCACCAGGAGATAAGCACTGTCGAATTGTTCTTGAGAAGCCTTTCTGGTAGAAAGCACGAATGAAAAGAGAAAGACAGAAGTTCATAAATCGTCACAGGGAAGGACCGTCAACTTCATAGTCATATGCGAAGGAGGGTAAATCATCAAGCGAAACAACAAGATCTTCCAGGCTATCTTCCATATGTTCTTCTTGTTCAACTTCAGGCTTCTCTGTGGTTGTCACCTTGTTTTCATTCTTTGTACCGGTCTTCTTGTCGGGTTTATTCATCTGCTTTTTGGCCTGTTTAGATGCTGCCCTTCTCTCCTTTCTCAAACGCCCCTGCATCATCGAATAAGTTGCTCTCTTAATAACTGTCTCCAACAGTGATCTTGTCATCTTTGGATACGTTGGTGCCACTAACTCATGTAGAGCATTCAACATTTTTTCACGGTATTCGTCACTGGTATCACGGATCCATGTGCGTCTGCCCATTGGGAAGCCCAATGTGTTTTCGAATATATCAAGCACAAATTTCTCAATCTCAATGGTTTCTGCAAGTGAAGATGTATTCAATACTTCACCAAGCCTGACCAACGACAATCGTGAATCCAAAGAATTCTTGGATTTGGGCCCAGAACGGCGCTTTCTACCCCTAGTTTCCACTGGTTTGGTTTGAGCAGACACAGCGTCTAAACCAGGGGATAACGTGGTGACCTTGGGAGATGACTTCTTTGGGGGTACCAACATGGAGGTACTACCACGGCGGAACAGCTCGGTGGATCTTCCTGGCAGCTCCTGTTGTGTTTGATTAAATACTGCACCGTAGTTCTCCATTGGCGAAGAATTGTCAAACGGCGTCGATTGGATGCTGGATGAAACTGAAGGATGTGCCTCTGTGAATCGATACTGTTGTGCACTTGTGGTTGAATCCATGGGAATGTCGAAAAATGGCGCACTAACCAGTAGGTCTTGGAAACCTTGACCATTCTCCTGTGCAATGTCATTTATGGCCCCCATTGTGTTGAACCCTGCACGTGGTTCTGAAATGTTTAAGGCATCTGTTGAAGGTGGGGTATTGATGTCGTCAAGCCCAGTGAGTGGGAACCCAGTCTGGTATTGGCTACCAGTCAGCGAAAACGGTGTCTGATCATCAATGTTTGAGAAAATATTTTCAAAGTTATCCTGGAGTGAACTCCCGTTGATATTGTTTCCTTCAAACGCAAAACTGTTGTCCATTTTATGTGTTATTGTATACTGTTTGTATAGCTTCTATTGTGAAACGAAAAACTGGCAAGCGAATTGTTATCTCTGGCAGAATCAACCGTTGGTGAAATTGCTAGGATAATATATGATAACCAAACTTTCAGGGGGTTGGTGTCTTATGTGAACACAGGGATAAGAAACCAGAGCAGAGGGATCAAGTGTGCTCCAACTGTGAAGTCAAAAATAAAAACAAGTACTGAATTGAAGATTGCGCAAAAACACACAAATATAGCTGGCCTTGAATAATATGGATTGCGAAGCAGATATTGTAAACAAATGATACAGCGACCTGTTATCGAGGGAAGGAATTGATATTTATAAAGCTCTGTAATATGTATCTGTATCATGTCTACTAGTACATACCGCAATTCCTTTTCCTTTTTTATCCTCTCACATGGTAGGTGTGGCAGCATGCACAGAAACGCACAAAGTATAGAAGTCCCGACGTGTTGATCACCTTTTGTGCCATACTGGCGCATAGAACCACATGAAAAAAATTCGATGCTCATGCACTCTCGTTCATCTTTACAGACCAACTGTGGCAACCATGTGCATGACCAAGTCTCTCACAACCCGGCCGACACGCATGCTTCGGTAAATATACAAACTCTATTTCAATTGAGGGCAGGGGAAGTTGACGTACTTAGCCTTGACAATCCTCAACCACACAACCTCGCGACCAACGAGTAGTGGACAGAATTGGAAATTATAACGCATAAACTCTGACAGAGGCATTAGAATAAACACACTCCTGCATATCTCAGGTATGAAAGCCTTACTATAAGGTCTGGACTCTTGCAATTTTTCAACCAATCGTTCTTGAGCATGGTCTTGCCATTTAGGCCCACCCTGGCCTATCGAGATTCGTCGTATACCTTAAGCACAATCAGACACAATCTTGAGGTTTATAGTGTATATCATTTTTTCAATCGATGAGGCACTTGAATGTTCCTCTCTACACCCCTAATCAAACGTCAAATTGAGTAATTCCATTTGTACGTATGTACGTATATGCCCTATGTCGTTGATCATTTGCAAATTATTACATGATTTACCAACAATTAGTGGGGGGAGGCGATAAAATCCAACGAGACATTATATAATGGACGCCAGTTTGAAAATCTTAAATTGGAAGCAATCGAATGTCCTCTCAAAGCTTCATACGTAATCTCTAACAGCCCAAGTTTAGTGGTTATGATTGGCGTACGCCTGGCCTTTCGCCATCACATCGACACCCTGTTGAAAAAAGTGTAGACAATCAACTAGGAGGACTCCACAGGCATGTGTGTTGGGTACTAAGTTAGATCAATAATTATGGTGTTGTAAAAGAGGGAGGGACCAAATCCACGTGATTTGAAACACACCAGAGTCAAAAGACACACACACGTTGATAACGTATGCGCGGTTTTATCACGCATCTTGGCCCCAAGCTTGAGTTTCGTATATTTTTGAGCTGGTCAAGTTAATCTAACCACATGGACAGCGCCGTAGTACATTTCCAGGCAGGTAAGAATTTAACCTTATTGCATTTTAGCCCTTCGAAATGGTCTACGCTTGCAAAATAGAACTTTAAGATTCCTTTGGAAGGAAGATAAGAGACAGGTATTCGTAAAGAAGATAAGAATACGGGTGCTTGGACGACAGATGGATAGCAGAATGGTGGACCGTTGGACCAGAGACATGTTGTTCTCGGGCGAGAAGTCTACCATCTCAACACATGCCGATGTAAAAAGAGGCATAACTTCTGATTTTACGCTTGTAAAATTATTACAACTTTGATCCAGCTGGAAGAAACATACGTATGTGCTAATTTACACAGATGAGACACGAACGGTACAAACCGTGGCTAATGTCATCTCCCATTCAAACAGAGTGATATTTCTCGTTGAGGCTGAACTTTGGAGCCCATCGTTGTCAAAACGTGATAAATCCTGAAAAGAAATTACGGAAAAGGGGGCTTATTAGACACGCATCTGAATTGACTCCCCATTACCATGTGCTCACGCCTTACTGGGCGTTCCATATTCAGAAAAATGAGAGAGAAAACGCTGTTGGAGTAGTGAACGTGTCGATTACTAAAATAGCATCCTACATTGCTACAACATGACGGTATCAGACGGCTAAATCTTCTGAAACTATTCGAATTGGTACATGGACAGGGTCTTGACTCCTGACTTTGTAGTTTGCAAACGATCTTTGACGAACTTTATGTTCCAAGAGAATTGGTTGAGGCTGTGTCTACGCACCCTTGAATCCAAGAGTTAATTGCACTGGGTGAAGATTATGACCAGAGTCAAGTGGCAGTTTATGATGTACATAATATACTGCAGGAGCTGAGATTAGACCAAATATTCAAAGAACCACTATCAGCGAGCGTATCCCTGTGTATCTTCGTTTTGGCCAGTTCGTCGGTGGTTAAATGCTGTGAGTGTCTATACTTGAAAGGCAATACATGATCCGCACACTGATATTCAAGGCAACAGTACTGGCGTGTACGATGCGATTCGTCATGAGCCTTATACGCACATGCATTTCTGGAGCTGTGATGTGTGTTTAATGCATGGAGGGAGTCTCATGACTCAGAGCTCGGAAGTTGTCATCAACAAGAATGCTAAAGTGTACTATGGGCTTGGTGTTGTAATGACGCAAGTGTACGTATCCGAGGTTTGATTTCATACGGTACTCTGCTTCATATTCATTAGTGAGGCCCTTGTGTTAGCGCTTAAAGCCTTCAATCAAATTACATGGACAGTACCATGGCAATATTTCTACCTTCGTGTAATGCACATGACTGGATCCCGCCTGCTTCAATCGGAATAACTCTACAGTAGGCATGCGTCTACAGTGGCCTACAATTAATCCACAAGGACGAAGCTGTTGAATCATAAAGTCGATTAATCATAGTGTCGTTGCATTTCGTATAATCCCCCAGATACTGTGGTGTACCATACGCATTGATCTTTGGGTGTCATTTAATCTGGGATAATCTCGTAATTTGTAGACGGAGAGTCTTGGTTCAACCTTTTATCTTCCAGTGCCTGAATCACCAGTCACGTGCTATCTGTCCACAACAAAAGAACAAAGCTTACTCTATCAAAGACCCTTATCACAGCTTTTAAGTTTCCACAACTGGGCTATAGTTATGTGATGTTGTCCTGTAGGAATTCTCTTCAAAGTAGTTATTCTTATCTTGTAATAGCATGTACCGTGACATCTTTATCTAATCTACAGCGTAGACACATCACTGACGATTCAGCTATTAATTTCACAGCTTTCAAGGGTACATATCTTGTTGGTCTATCCTTTTTGCTATATGCTATCAGTATATCACTGGGGAATATTACGCTCCGCCGCAGGTAGCCTTCCGAATGCTTGCCCATTTGTCTTACTAAACTCCTAAATATCACAGGCTCCAGATACTACACACATGGCATCATGGTACAGTTCACTTGCTTCATCTCAATAACTCTGTGGATAGAGAGTTCCATGCAACCAAAGTGTAACCAAACAAACTCCATTTAATGATCTACATTTGGCAGCATTGCAGAAATTTTTGATAAGGGATGCATCTATTATTTGGACATGAACAATGTATTTAATGCTGACAAGGATACATTGGAGAAAGTATAAGCAGCGTTAACCACACGATTTAGTCGAAACCTTCATATGAAGTCGTGTGTTGGCGACAAATTGGGCAAGGATTGTTGCCATAATGCGTAAAGTTCTTGAACTTTATGTTTAACTCTCCTTCCCCCAACATCTTCAAGCATGGTTGTTATCATGTGTAAATGGAGCAGGTAACGCTGGTATGTTTAAGCAAAGGGCTTCTCTTTGGAACACGCCAAGGCTCTTTTTTTTCTAAATACTGAACAGACTGTCTCGTCTCACGAGCTGACAAACAAGGGTGTCATCAATGTGGTACTGTAAGTATGCTCTGAATAAAGCTACGTAGTGATAACGCTACAACTTCAACTAAGCCTGTTAGGAAACTCTGCATTGGCTATAATAATCAAACCCTTTCCATCATAACATCATAATATTTTATTATCCTTCATTACGCTAAATTGTTGTGTTGTCTCCCTCCTCCTGACACCCTTTTTACCATGTCAATGCTTTTGGATGTTATACTTCTCCAAATCTCCCTTCTTCAAGTCCTGTGTCCATGAGCAAATCCTACACTTGAGTTGTTTCCCCCAGTAGATTGGTATGATTGGCACAAACCAGACCGATATGAACTCCTTCTCCTTAACTGGCTCAACAGAATTGTTGTGGCAATTTGGACACTGTAGATTGTTTGGATATCCATCCATGTGCGATGTGAAATTCTTTGTGCCGAATAAGAAGAACATAAACATGTTGAATGATACACCAGATGCCTGTTTGGATTTTGTTAACTCGTTGTTGTTGTTAGTGACAAACCAAAGAAAGTGATAGTGCTGTGAATTATTGCTATTTAATCCCTAGCTCATCAAGGAAATAAGAGGTCACATTCTAAAGCCGGCTATGCTTCGCCAACCAGGTGTACCATTCTATTTTTTGCTCTCACTGTTCAAAGGGACGAAATGTAATTAATCCTTTTTACCGTGGAGCTCATCGATTGGATCACTTCCCTGGTGGTCAACCATGTCCTTTGGCTCCCTGAAGTTCATTTGATGTAGTTCTGTATTCGTCACGCAAGGAGATTCCATTTTTACCCATTCTGACGCCGGTAATTCCCGAGAATTCGAACGAAATTGAACTAAGGTACATGGTTTGCTCAAACAGTTCGAGTGGTCCTAATCCATTATTGTATACATGTACTCCTAGTAGTTAAGTTCACAATGTTCTTGGTGAAAACCCCTGGTCTGTACCAGCCTGTGACCATTAGGACTGATGAAGAGAGTCCCATGCGATGCAATGCTTCCTGTAGTTCTGTTTGGAAATGCACAGCCTGTGTATTACAAAGCACGCTGGTTTTGCCTCACAACAAGCTGAAATTACACAAGAATTGAAATTCGTTACGACAAAAGAGTGTGCAGGAACACCTTGACCACATCCCGGTAGAAATGAATGACCTCAACTGATTGCACCAAGCTCTTACAAGATATAGCGTGCCTCTAATACTCGAGACCTAATGATGGCGAAGACATTGGGTCTCCTGTCTATTTGTTCCCATTGTTGTACAGTGCCATTGCATCATGAATGCCTGGTTATTGATAGCAAGCCATTGGTATTCCAAGGGGTTCTTGTGGTGAGACACTGAATTGCTCTTTCGAATCTCAAATGAAGCTTGTAAGTGGTTTGTTCATTGAAATTAATACTGGAAATATTTAAGAGATCATACATAAAGAGTCCATTGTACATTATCAACCACTTTTGAACATTTCAGTCTAAACGTGTCAAATATGGTCAGATACGTATGTACTTCTGTGCATTGTTACACTAGTTCTATCTTGAGCTGGATCACGTATCCAGAAGCAAAAGAGGACACCTAATCAGAATGTCACAATTCCTGACGAATGTGAGTTCTGAACTCTATCTCAGTATCCATAATCACTTTGGAAAGTTTCCGATTAGGATTGAGAGATTATAGGATAATTTTTTCATTGAGTTTTGATAAGATAGCAAATATTATTCGCATATGGTCACAGTTTCTTGCACGCCATGCAACACTCCATGGGTGAAACTGCGCTAGCCTTATCTTTCAAATCGAGATTTATATACGGGCTCTTATTCGTATACTGCGCAAATTTAAGGGTGCCCAAATTGTTTCAATAGAAGACGTTGTTTGGATACGTCATATGATCTACAACATACATGAAGAGAAAGAATATTGTATAGAAGGTTGCTCAATGAAGTCGTCCACTGCCTGCTGAACGGAATAATGTACATGTAAATGTTTCCCAGAATATAACTACCGAAACATTTCAAATATCACACATTACTGGGCAATAGTGCAGTAAATTTCCATTCAGTGGATCCGTTGTGGATACCTTGTTTCAACATGCTTGCTGGACTCGGTTCTTGTAAACTAGTATGAAGTCGCAGGCTAAGTCATGATGCCAAAATATGAGCTTTGAATTAGAAATTCGCTTCAGTTGAGGTCTTTCATAGTGCACCTCAATCGTCCAATGTGATGCCAGGCTCGCCCCAAATTACAATGGGTACGCCTTTCGAAAGACCTCACTGTGAAGAACCGTAAAACATCTCAAAAGATTGTGAAGAGCATATAAAAAGCGAAATTTCCGGTATTTATTGTCAAGAGGAATTGGTCATATTTCTAAAGGTGACAACTTTTCATTTGCTGTTTGCCACTGCCAAACCACTTGCTCCTCCAGCTGTATTGTCGAAGTTATACCAACCATCCACTAGCTACGTTCAAAGAACTATGTTCGCACAAGGCCTAAGCCTTGTAGCAGGTGAGCCACAACAGCAAAGTTCTCTGGAGTCAATAATAGAAAAGTACGAAACAGAACTATACAACTCTGGTAGTGAATTTGAACCCATTGATCCAAACTCAACAAGTGTGAAGATGGAAATTGCATGCCAACTGTTATCTTCAAGGTTAATACATCTGGGTGCTGATCCAGATAAAATCTTGAACAATGACCTGAAGGAGTTGAGTAACGTTAATTGGAGCACACTTGATAAAAAGGAGAAGAAAAGGTTGAGCAGAACGAATTCCAAATATTATATGAATTTCCATGACGTTGAACACGATACAAAGAGCAAACACTTTGGAGAAGAGTGGCACTACACTTTCAAAGAGTTGAGACGGATGGAATGGGTAAGATTCAAATTCATTTCCAATAGGGAGAGATATACCAATTTTCCAGAGCCAAAACTCTGAGTGCATTATAAAGCGTAATGAACATCTCTTATGTGTTAAGGATGTAGTATATCATATTTTCTCTACTATAAAGTCAATAGACGAAACCTGGTAGTGTATTTCACAGAGCTCAGACACCGGTGTAATACTTGGTTAAACTTCACAGCCTTGTGGTGCTGTCGTATTGAATAAATTGGTGATTACAAGAATATCCTAAGCTCAAAAAATAACGAACTCTCACAACTCTAGGGGACATTTAGCTGTGGTAAATTGTTACCACCGTTTTTGTCATAGTACATTCACTGCTGATGGCCCAGAGTAGCAGCTTCTATAGGCATGTAGCGGTGTTTGGTTGTGAGTTGACATAAAGAGGAATTGGAGTGTCATTCAAAATCAGCTGCATTAAATTGACTGATCACTCATGATATTTATACAATAAAGGTGTATTGTTGAGTATTTTTAGTTATTCCTATCCGTGATAAGTTGCAAAGAACAGTTTGGGTCAATTAATTTCAAGTTTTATAATAATTTTAATAATATGTAACTCAGTCTTCATTAAATAGATAATTTTGGATGGACCATTTTTTATTTTCATATGGGAGATAACATAATTTTGAAAACATTTAAGCATATATAACGTGATAAAATAAATGACAAACTCAACAATGCGTAACTTTATGATATATGAAATATATATAATCCATTCAAATTATATCTATTTGTTCCCTCTCAGAGACTGTTAAAAACTTGGTGTGATTAGTGGTGATTCATTACAATTAACACCACCAACTTGAAAAGCTAGTGAGCCATTTTGATTAAGGACACATCCATATAGACGACATGCACAGAAGAGCACGATATTAATCAAATGCCATGAAGTTCTAGTGTATTATACCATTTGCCCAATGTCACTCTATTAAAGTTCTTGAGTTTTCAGGGATATATGAGAGGGACTCTAGTTATAAAATGCAAAAGAATTCACAGGAATACTGAGGTTCCATTCATACTAATGCAATCATCTGACACATCTCACTACCGATGATAGAGGCTACATTGAAAATGAAGTACTGGAGGGTTACAATATGGAGCAATTGTCACTTCCAATGCTTTTATGCGCACTAGTTATAATACTACCAATCCATTTAAGGCCCAATATGGGTAACAACAACGAAGACATGACCTGAACAGTAGTATAATGTTGTTTAAACAAAGGACTTCCTCAACTGGTGTCTGTGTCCTTATATAAGAGCACTATTATTTCTCACCCCTCTTTGCGTCTAAATCAACGGCCAACTCCAAACCATTTTGAAACGATAGATGTTTCCCAAGCTGCTCCAATGTCTTATGCAGTAATTACAGAGGCGTGATTTTAGACAAATGTACATATGTGTTTTGCGTGGCAGCACCTTATTTTGAACGTCGGACCATTGAGAATGGTTGATACCGGTTTAGAAAAGATGATTAGAGGTTCTATATGGCGTTCAATTCTGGCCCTAAGATCTTACAGCTGAATCTTCAATATTGTCGACATCTAAAGGCGTGCATTGATCTGTTATGCAGGAGGTCGAAGGGGGAGGCGATACGCACTTCGCTGTATTACCGGTCGTTATCTTGATTTCTCACACGTGGTGTTTTTTTGCACGTACAGCTTTCATCTACACAGCAAACGTGAGAAATGTTCTTGAAGGTCAACTCCCACCATCAGTGTTAAAAATGAGCCCCGGTTATTGCAACTAGGAAATATCAGCACTCATTGAAGCTCTACACAGCTGACTAGCTAGACCTTACCGAAAACGATGGCCTTGGCTATTTGCTGTGTTGAACAAGACCTGTGTAGTAAGCTTGTCTTAAATCAATTCGTACACCCAAGACTTTATAAGCTCTACTAACCGACTCTTGTGGCTCAGGCATTTCTGCTTTCTTATAGTTTATAGCTATGGTTCATGCAATGATGCAGTTTACTCAAGGGACAGCGTTTTGGCATGTCAAGTTACCCATTGTGTTAGATAATAATTCATAAGCACATGTGTTTAGTAGGTACAGCATGGTGTCTTGGGAGCAGACGTTTTTAAAGAAAGCCTAAGCGCATTGCAAAGCATTTTTCCCTATTCTGTAAAAGTTTTCTTGACTGCATTTGCCGAGAAAGAAATTCTTACCCAAGTATCGAGATCACTGATTTAGGAATTAGCGCATTTTTCAGAAAAAAATGCACTAAAAATTGTGCAAAACTTGCGGAATC